ATAATATCAAAATATTCTGAACAACATTCAGTTTATAACTGGATTGTCTTAGCCACACAGGCGGCTGCTGGTTAAGGCAAGCTGCCCCAGGAGGAGAAATTCCTCTGTCTCCTGAGACAAAAGGCAAGCCCCAGGAAAAATAAGACCCCAGGACATAAAAACTCCTGGGAAGCTTCCTTGGTTTCTTTAAATAAAAAAGCAAACCTCAGATAAGGCTCCAGGGCATAATGGACACATTTTAACCTTGACTACACAGGTGTTGTTTGATATACAACTGTACAACTTTCTCTTAATTTACTCCTTTTTAAAACAAGCACTAACTACTCTCTGCTAGCCTTAAATTAGCCATTAGCTTTTCTTTAGACAGTCACTGCTAACACTGCTAACACAATTTTTTACTACCCCAAGACCCCTAACAACCTTTTGCTAACAAGCTCACCCTTTCCCAGACCCCTCTTCCTCTGAGTGATAACTAGACAGCTGTATACATGATAACTATCACAACGTATAATCTATTATACCATAAATTGTTAAGAGAAGAATGCTTTTTCCCCTTGTCCTTGAGAATGTTTTATGGAGATGTCTCATTAACTTACCCTATGCATTATTACGATTAACTACTTGCTACACAGTATAAATAAAGACCTGCTGAAGGGATAGCAGGAAGACTTGCGCCCTATCCTGACTCCCGTGTCTTCCTCGTACCTGCTTCTGTCTCCCCTTTTGGAATCTCTGCTCGCAGACGCCTCCCCATCTTAGGGTCCTGCCTGTGCTGCCTCCAGACACCTCAAAAGTTGGAGCTAGTCTCCGACAGAATAGTTAAAGCTGGAAAGGTAAATTATGATAGTTTAAGCCTGCAAGTAAATTTGCAAATTCCAGAAGGAACAACTTGAAGTGTTGAAAACACTTGCCAACTACCTTGGGTTCTGAATACTCAACTGGTTCCTTACCGATGCTTAAAAGTTCCTTTGACCTAAAATACATTTCCAAAGCCTGCAGGGCTATGTGCTGAGCACTTTATGAATATCAAGAGATATCCATGTTCTCCTTCTTTTATACATGGGAGCACTGAGACTCAGAGTAACTGTCTATAGTCACACAATATGAATGTGCTAGAATCAAGATGCAAATCTGGCTGAATACAAACCGCATGTTCTAATTGTCCCAGAAGCCATGATCTCTCCCTTTTTCGCGTTGTATCTTTGGGTATCAGCTCTCGGAGTTTAAGAAACTCCCAACAAGAAAGATGTCTTTCTGTTCAACTTGTCAGCACGATGTGCTTCAGCAGAATACCACTGGGTGGCGCCAGAGCACCAGACAACCTGGTCTGTTGTGGCCCAGAAGTTGGACTCTACAGAAACACAGTTCTATATGTATCTGACTGGATAAAACTGGTTCAGACCAGTTCCAAACTGGCTGGTAAAAATAGGCTCAAACATTTACTGGGTGGTCTGGCAAGCTCAAACTAGTTCTGGTCAGTTCTAACCAAAACTGATTCTAACCAGAAACAATTCAAACTAGCTAAAACCAGTTCGGACTGCATAAAATCAGTCCAAGCCAGTTCCAAACCATTTCTGAATAGTTAAAATAGCTTTGGACCTTTTCTGGTTGGTCCAACTGGTTCTGGACAGTTCAGAGTGGTCCAAACATGTTCAAACCAGATCTGATAGCATAAAACGTGTAAATATGTCCTGACTGGCTCAAACCAGTTCTGATAAATTCAAGCCCTTAAATTCTCAGCAATTAAAGCTTCAAATCAGTTCTGACCAAAGAAAACTGGAGAAAAGTACTTCAAACTTGGCTGTGGTTCCAACTGATTCTGACCAGGTTAAACCAGTACAAACCTGACAAGACTGGTTTAAGTCAATTCTGACCAGATCAAACTGGTTCTGACTGTCTTGAACTGGATAGAACCAGACCAGACCCATCCTGACATGTTCAAGCCAGTTCTGACTAGATAAAACCTTTCTGATTGTACAAAGCCAGTTCTGATGGGTTCTAAACAAAACTGAAACTGATCCTAACTATTAAAACCAGTTCTGACTGCATTAAAATCAATTCAAGTTGGTTCCAAACCAGTTCTGAATGGATAAAACTGGTTCAAACTTTTTCTGGCTGATATGATGGATTCTGGCCCGTTCAGAGTTATCCAAACATGTTCAAATGAGATCTGATTGGATGAAATCAGGTCAAACATGTTCTGACCAGCTCAAACCAGTTCTGATAGACTGGAGCCCATTCTCAGCAGTTACAAAGGTTCAAACCAGTTCTCGATCAAACCAGTTTTGTGAAGCTGAAACCAACTGACACTGGTTCCAACTGGCTCAAGTTGGCTGAAACTGGTTCTGACTTGTTCAAACCAACTGAAATTGAAACCAGCTGAAGCTGAATACACCTGTCACTGGCTTACCTGTCACTGGCTCAAACCTACTGACTGGTTCAAACCACCTACAACAGGTTCCAACTAACTGAAGCTGGTTCCAACCAGTTCAAACTGGAAAACTGATTCTGTCCTGTTGAAACTGACAAAAAGCAGACAGACTGGCTTAAAACAGCTGAACCTGTTTGAACTGACTTGTTCAAAGCAACTGAAACCAAAAACAGCTGACACTGAAACTGGTTCCAACTGACTCAAATTGGCTGAAACTGGTGCTGACTTGTTCAACTGAAACTGAAACCAATTGACACTGGCCTACTTAATCTGTTCTAGCTAGATCTGTCTGGACAAAACTGGTTTTGACTTTACAAAACTGGTTCAAACTGGCTCTGACAAGTTCTAATTGGATAAAGCCAATTCTGACTTGTTAAGACTGGATAAAAATGGTTCTGCTGGGGCCTCCCTGGTGGCTCCGTGGGTGAAAGCTCAGCACTATGAAGCTATCCGCAGCCATTGCAGCACGAGGTCAATTCCCGATCCCTGGCCAGGGAGCTGACCCCCATGGCACAGCAGACCTCTCCTGACCTCACCCCCCTCCTTACTCCCCTCAGCAGTGTACTTCAGTAGATCTGTCCTTTCTTCTCCCCACCCTGTCTCTGGTGAATTTTCTCACCCCCCTCACCTCTGGCTTGTACCCCAGTTCTTATATGCATAAATAAATAATTTTTTTTTTCAAATGTTTCTGCTGGAAAAAATACCCTGATGAAACCAGTTCTAATGGGTTCTTCCAGTAGGAAAAAAAGGCTTCAAACTGAGTCTGAATAGATAAATTTGGTTTTGACTGTATAAAACCTCTTCTAACTAGATAAATCTGGTTCTGATTCTGACATCCTGACAGGTAAAAACAAACAAGCAAACAAACAAAAGTTCAAACTGATTCTAACCAGATCAGTCTGCTCTAACCAGATAAAACCAGTTCAAGCTAACTCTGACTGGATAAACCTGTTTCTGGGTAAAGCAGGTTATAACTAGTTTGACCAGATAATACCAGTTCTAAGCAGATAAAACTAGTTCAAACTGGTTCTCACCAGATAAAACTGGTTCTGACTGAGTAAAACCAGTTTGGGCTAGTTAAAACCAGGTCTAACTGATTCTGTGGAACCAATTGTGAGTAAAACTGGTTCTGATCAGATAAGATCAGTTCTGACTGGAGAAAACTGACCAGATAAATCAGTTCTGACCAATTCTCAACATTTCTGGATAGTTCAAGCCAGTCAACCAATTTTTACTGGTTCTGACTAGTTAAATTGTTTTTTACTGTCCCTGAAAGATAGAAACTATTATTACAATTTCTTACATGTTAAGAAATTGACACTTCATGTAGTTAGATTTCACAGCACTTAAACGAATAATGATGGGTCCTCCTGGTGGCACAAAGTCAAGCTATCAGCAGCCTGTTCAGCTTGAGTTCAATCCTCTGCCAGGGTAGTGACCCATATGGCACAGTAGACCTCTCCTGTCTCACCCGCTGCAGTGTATTTCAGTTGACTTACCTGTTCTGCTCCCACTCTGTTTCTGGTGAATCCTCTCACCTCCCCTGCACCTCTGGTCTGTACCCCAGTTCTGTATGCATAAATAAATATTTTTTAATGAATAGTGAATAAAAAAATGGATAAAACTGAATAAAAGGATAAGTAAGGGACTCTGGAGAGAAGTCATGTAAGACAGGTTTGGAAAACTCTGGTGAATAGGTGACACTTGCTTCCGCGAACATGGAGGAGATTATGGGAGTGAGGGGCCCATCCCAGAGACACCAGTGCTTGAAGGCGCTGCAGAGAAAAAGCAATAAAAGAAGGATGCTGGATGGTGGACACCTGGCAAAGAAGACTTCCAGGACAGAAACACCAAGGGGAGATCCTGGCACAAAGAGCCTCCAGTCCTGAGAACTACAGAGGGTTTGGGCCTCCGTGGTGACCTCCAGGAGACTGATATCCCTAAAGGGACAGAAGGAAATGACAGGGAGGTGAAGTTCAGAGGCACTAAAGAGTTAGAGGTGAAACCAGAGTGAAGAGATCTACTACTTCACTGCAAGGGAAGAGGAGAGGATATCCACAGGATGACTGATCCAGGAAGGACTTGGGTTGGCTTTAATGTGAAAGAAGCCTGACTGTATGTGAACAGGAACGAGGTGGATGGGACTGGGCAGAGACTGCAGATCCTGAGGCAGGCTGGGCCTCCTTCTGGAGGAAAGAGGGGCCCAAGCCCAGACTGGCAGGCAGGCGCGGCTGGAGATGTGGAGCAGGCGCTGGGGACTGCGTGTCAGAAATAAGGGGCTGCCCCTACAGGTGAGACAGGGGGGGCCCACAGACGGACCTTTGACTCCTTCCAGAGAAATGGGAGCAGGTCTAGGTCCTCAGATGACCAGGTCTGGGCTCCGGGAAGCTGTGAGCGAGGGTGGAGGGTGGGCGCTGGCAACTGGACAGAGCTGGGCGGAGCTGAGCGGAGGGCGCCAGCCTCCTCCACGGTCCTCTCAGGTGACAGACCCCGCGGGACCCCGCCCCGCCCGCCGCATATTGCGAGAGCAGCCGGAGCCGCGGTGCCGAGCCCTGGCCGTCGGTGCTTGCGCGGACCCGCTGCAGCCCTCTCCAGCTCGCCGCCCACCATGGCCTCCGCGGCAGCCGCCAGCAACCTCCTGGTTCTCCTCCAGGTGCTCGGGCTCGCCCTGGCGCAGATCGTAAGTCCCGCAGACACCCCGCGCTGGGGTCCGGGAGTGTGGGGTCTGGGATCCAGGACTGCTCACGAGTTCTATCTGGCGGTGGCCACCCTCTTCTGACACTCCCTAGTCGAAGGGCAGCTGCGGACAGTCCCACCGCTGAAGTCCCCTGGGCAGGAAAAAGGAGGTGGACGAACCGGGGACCCGGAGGGACCTTGTCGCGCAACGCTCGGCCTTGCCGGGACAGACGGCGCGGGCTGGATTTGGCGTCGAGTCCTGGCAGCCCCGGGAGCCCAGGTGGCGCGGGAGACAAAGTGCCCATTCAGGGGTCGGGGGAGCCTCCGCCCCCCGCCGCCTCCCAGGGGGCCCAGGCTCGCGGCGACGCGGCTCTCGCCCGAGGCGGGAGGCTCGCGAGGCCGCGTGTCATTTCCCAGGGCCGGCTGGGGACCGGGGACCGCCCGGGACTCAGGCACGTTGTGGGGCTCCGATTTGCAAGGTGGGGGGGCCGTCAGACTAATACATCTCAGTCTGGGGAGGATGCAGTGTCCTGACAAGCTCGGGACCCCTGTTTGGGTTGGGGCTTGCCCCCACAGGAGAACCATCCGAAGGAGGACGAAGGAATGGTGCTGGAAAAGGGGTGCTCTGGGTGGAGGAAAAGAACAGGCGCACTCACACACCACCACCACCATGTTGCCCCCTCCATGTGCACCCCACTTTCTCTTGGGTTTAACCCACACCAGGGGGAGAGGAAGAGATTCCGACTCAAGATTTATCCCCGTTGTTCATGTAACAATCGCATTATTGACAATAACTACCAGCAGCCATCCGTTGAGGACCTGCCCTCAGCGAGGCACACCTTGCTACCCCCCCCATGCAGGGACATCAGCGTGTCATCTGCTCCCCACTACAGTGGTGGGAGTCGGGCAGACCTGGTGGCAGTCCTGGCTCCACCACTTACTCTCTTGATCGTTCTCAGTCTTTCTGAGCCCGGCTCCTCAGCTCGGCTTTCCTAGTAATACCCACATCTACGCTCTGAGCCGTCAGTAAGATAACATTCTCTTTCTCTGTGCGTGTGTGTAGCGAGTAATGGTACCCAGTGGGTTTTCAATAAACTGAAGTTCGCGGCTTGCTGCTGAGCTCCCTGGCGGGATGAATGGAGGAGTGCACCCCCACGCCCCAGACGTCCCGCTCCCTGCCCTGAGGGCTGCCCCCCTCTCCCTGCCTGTATTTTCAGAGAGGTCCACCAGGAGAGCCGGGGCCCCCGGGACCGCCGGGGCCGCCGGGAGTGCCTGGATCGGATGGCATCGACGTGAGTCTGTAACCTGGCTGGGAGGGGGAGGGAGGCTGCGGACAAAGGGAACTTTGTGAGCTTGGGGAGCGGGAGGTGGTGGTGGGGTTGGTGTGGAGGTGCAGTGCCCGCTGTTATCCATAGGCGGCGCCCGCCCAGCACAGGAGCCCGTTTGTAGTTCAAAAACCTCAAACCAGCCCTGGTCTGCAGAGGCTGTCACAGCCTCTCGGTGACAAGGGGCCGCTGTTCGTCAGCCAGCCACAGCTCGCAGCAATACCTTATCCCTTTGTCTCTTCTCCCAGTTTTGGGGGTGGGGGATAGCTTAACTCTGTGCCCTGCCCCCTGGCACGTCTGGATGCCTCTTCAGAGGAGCTTGGGAACCTTGGCCAGCAGGCTGGAGCCAGGCTGTCTCTTCCTTTTGCCTGTTCCTCCCAGATTTAGAAACAACTGGGTTGGTTCCACGCTTTCCCTAGCACAGTGAGGGTTAAATACCTCATTCAGGAGTGTCTCCCAGGAGCTCAGCTCCATGTTTACCCATCTGGACAGACTTCTATTCAACCTGGTACCCCCGCCCTCCAAACACAGAGCTGGACCCCTGCCAGACTCCAGCTCCTGCAGGCTTTGAAATGCCTGGAGGCCTCTGTGGGGCTCTGTGTGACTCCACAGGCTTTGCCTGTCCTCCACCAAGGGTCCTTTGTCACGGTGGAGAGAGGGTCTTCCTGGCTGGAGAACGGGTGGCAGCCAGCCCTTCCACGGATTCCCTTGTTTCTTGCCCCCTCTGGAGTCTTGTTTCCCGGACCTCAGCCCAGAAGAGAGCCTCTGCCTGCCTGGTTTGCTTCCCCTTTATGTTTTTCTAAAAGCCCCTGGTTTCTTTCTACCCACTTGGCCAAATCCAGCTGAGTTAATTTGGACCCCACAATCCCATTTGCAGGTCTCATAACTAGCATCTTTTTTTAAAAGATTTATTTATTTATGCATACAGAACTGGGGTACAGGCCAGAGGTGTGGGAGCAGTGAGAGGATTCACCAGAGACAGAGTGGGGAGCAGAACAGGCAGATTCAAGTGAAATACACTGCTGAGGGGAGCAGTGGACAGGTCAGGAGAGGACTGCTGTGCCATGTGGGTCACCTCGCTGGCTGGGGATTGAACTCGTGCTGCTGCTGATAGCTTCACAGTGCTGTGTTTTAACCCCTTGAGCCACTAGGGAGGGCCCAACATAACTAGCATCTTACCAACATCTGCATGTATAAAATCCCCTGGAATGTTGCTAACATCCTGGATAGTCTCAATCTACCTATGAGTTTGTGAAGGGAAAAAGCTGTTTTCAAAAACAACAACAACAATGCAAGCTTAGGAGGACCCTAAGAGAAGGGAGTGAGAAGAGAAGCACACAGGACCCACCAGTCACTCAGGGCACTTTTGTGGCATGTTCTCACCAACTTGTGTCTTGCAGGGTGACAAGGGTCCCCCAGGGAAGGCTGGCTTTCCAGTGAGTACTTTTTTCTCTTTGACCTTGACCCAGCTAGTTCTTGCCATTCTCTAATATTTGCTCCACTCTGTTTTCAAGGGACCCAAGGGAGAGCCTGGCAAAGCAGGGCCAGACGGGCCAGACGGGAAGCCCGGGGTTGATGTGAGTATCTGAGTGTGGGCAGAGCCGGCTGCAGCCTGACTTCCAGAGCTGGTCCTGGCATCTTCTTGCCCACCCATTCAGAACCCGGCAGAGGATGCAGGTGTGAGTCCCCTCACCTTCATACGACTTGAGACCTCACTGGAACCTCACATGCACCTCAGGAGCATTGGATCATGGGCAGAGAGCGTCCAGAAAGGGTTCTGATTGTCTATAGCAGCCAGGATTTAGCCTCACATTTTAAGCCTCCACGTGTTGATAGAATTACTCTGGGAGGCGCTTTCCCTGTGAACACTTCCTTTCTACCCTTCCCTTCCCCACTCCACGGGGCATATCTCAGGAGAACACCATTTGGCTGATTGCACAGGGTTCCTGGAGGCCCCAAGGGCCCAGGCTTCTGGACACAGCCAGGGCTGGTGACATGGCATCTAATTATGAGATATACTTGAGTCTCTGAAAGATGGGGGGAAGAAGCCCCCAAGAGTTGCCTTTGCCCTGCTGACTCATGCAAGGCCATAAAGGCTGTGCCCAGCCACCAGGGTCCCTCCAAACTGGTCTGCACCCTGCAAAGATTGCCAAGCACACAGCCTGTCACTAGCACCTCAGAGCCCACATCCACCCAGAGAGGTAAGCCTGATTGTTAGCCCTAGGGGTCAGGGAACAAGGTTACCCTCACTGGTTTAACCTTTACCTTTCCTCCAGGGTCTGACTGGAGCCAAGGGAGAGCCTGGCCCCATGGGAACTCCTGGAGTCAAGGTAAGTGGCCTGCTGGGGACCATCAAAAGCAATCTAGGACCAAAGTTTGGGAGGGGCTGCAGTAGTGTGGGCAGGAACCCAGGAGACCTCAGCTTCTAAGCCTCTCCCACTGATTTTGCAGGGCCAGCCTGGGCTCCCAGGTCCCCCTGGCCTGCCGGTGAGTATAACCTGCAAGGGTTTTGAGCCCTTTGTGGGTCGGGGACTTGGGGAACGGAGCCATGAACCAAATCTTTCTCTCTATTCCAGGGCCCTGGCTTCGCTGGACCTCCTGTAAGTTCTCAGTGAGGGGCAGGGTGGTCAGAACCTTTGGGGAAAGAGGAGACAAGGGAGCTTGCAGGAGACTGGCTATTGCAAGGAGGGGCCAGCATGTGGTGCCGGGAATGGGCAGCCTTGCTGAAGAACTCTGAGCCAAGCAACCCTGTCCCCTCGTTCTGGGATCCTCCACTCCTTAAAGCCCCAATCTGTCAGTGTTTCTGGGGCTGGCTATAAAGTAAAAGGGGGGAAGGAACTCTGGGTGCACGTCCCTACCTTTGTGCCTGTGGTGCGCTGACCTCTAAGGCATGCTGACCAGAGAAGGCTCTGCTCCTAGGGACCCCCTGGACCTGTCGGCCTCCCTGGTGAGATTGGAATCACAGGCCCCAAGGTGAGTCCGCACCCCCCTACTCTCTCTGCCTCTAAGGTAGCAAGGTGGGGTGTCCCCAGCAGTTCCTGAACCTGCTTCTGGCCACCAGTGAGCTCCTGCAGGCCCAGGGCAGAAACCCCTTGTGCTGGGCCCACCCTGTGGCAGGTCATGCAGGGAGACCAAGGGCTGGACCATCCTCTGCCCATTAGGTCTCCATCTCCCCAAGATTCCTAGCAGGCAGGGGGGACAGGACAAGATCAGGAACGGGAGGAGGGGTAGGGATGACCCAAGCAGGACTGGGCGAGGGTATAATTTAGGCTCCTCTTGCTCCCAGGGAGATCCCGGACCAGAGGGACCAGAGGGGCCTCCAGGGCCCCCTGGAAAGCCGGTAAGTAACCTACCACGTGGCGTGTGCAGCTGGGGAAGGGTCTTTGGTGTAAACCTGGGGAGCAGAAGATTCAGGTCAAGCTGCATCTCCATGCATGTCCTCTCAGGGCCGACCGGGAACCATTCAGGGCCTGGAAGGCAGCGCGGATTTCCTGGTGAGCGGGAACCCTAGGATGGGAAGGGGCAGGTCAGCTGAAAAAGTGGTCACAAATATAGGTCTGGTCATGGAGCTGGGGTCAGTGGGAAATGTGGAGAGGCTGGAACAGCGAGGGCCAAGTGGGGGGGCGGGTGCTGGTGGAGGTTTCGGAGTTGATCCGACTAGGAAGCACTGTCTGGCTGGCCTGGGCCATGCCAGTAACTATAGAACCCGGTGGGATCTTTTTTCTAGTGTCCAACCAACTGTCCAGCGGGCGTGAAAGGCCCCCCAGGGCTGCAGGGAGTGAAGGTGAGAGCTCCAGGCCCAGTCTTGGTGGGGAAGCAGGTGGCAGCGAGGACCTCACACTCAGCCCTTTCTTCCCTGCAGGGCCATCCTGGCAAACGAGGGGCCCTGGGGGATTCCGGCCTCCAGGGGAAGCCGGTGAGTGTGAGGGCTGCGTAAAGGGAGGAGTATGTGGAGAGGGGCCCCCCTTAGCCACCCCTCCTCCCTCCCCTGCAGTGTCTGAGCTTGAGCGGGGAGGCCAGGGCCTGTCCTGGCAGAGCCTCCATCTCCCTGTCCGTCTGTCACCTGGGACCATGAGGTCTCTAAGGTCTTCTCTGTCCACTTTGGCGGGAAGGGGATGGTAGCTTCAGTTGTCTGTATGTGTTTCTCCATCCACCTGCTGTCTGACTGCTTGTTCCTGCCCCTAGGGCCCCAAGGGAGATGTGGGTGCCTCTGGAGAACAAGGCATCCCTGGCCCACCGGTAAGGCATGCGCACCCCGTGAGCCCTGGGAGTCAGTGCCCTGCTAGGGCCTGTAGCTTGTCAGGGACACCGTGCCGGGCTGGCGTGTCTCTGGGTGGGAAAGGGAGACTGGGGGGCCTCTTCAGAAGTTGGGGACAGGAACCAAGGCTGAGTCAGCGGAGGCCCAGTTCTGCCCCTGTGCCTTAGTGACCCTGGTGTGTCCCTCCTCATCTCTGGGCTTCAGTGAGATACGGGCTCTGCTGCCTTCCTCAGAGGAGCGCTGTGAAGCCTGGGGTGAGACAAGGGCTGATGAGCGGGCCTCGCAGGTGACACTGTTACTTTCCTGTCTGGACAGGGTCCCCAGGGCATCAGAGGCTACCCGGGCATGGAGGGACCCAAGGGAGAAGCGGTGAGTGGGCCTGGGGTGTCCTGCCATGACCAGCCCTCTGGCCTTGGTCCAGCCAGACGGACCTGCAAACCTCTCCTCTCCCCAGGGTCCTCGTGGGTACAAAGGCATGGTGGGCCCTGTTGGCGCCGCTGGGTCTCCCGTAAGTCTGCTCCTGCTCATCTTCCTCCACAGCTCCCCTTTCAGCTGGAGGTCCCGGGGCTACAAAGGGGGTGCGACTTCCCCTGGGCCATGTCACCTGCATTCCTGTTTGTCCTTCTTGTCAGGGTGAAGAAGGTCCTCGGGGACCACCAGGCCGAGCAGGGGAGAAAGGTGACGTGGTGAGTCCCCAGGCACCCCTTTTCTAGTCAGGAGCTCTGGGGAGCACAGGGCAGAACTGAGCTGCACCCCGGGCTGACGTGGTGCTTGGCTATGTGTTATGGGGTGTGTGTGCGTTTCTCCATGTGTGTGTGGCCGGGAAGGGTGGGACCGCGTTGCACCCGAGCCCAGGACGCCCGCCAGACCCATTCCTCGAAGTCCAGCCCGCGGCTGAGCCAGTCAGGGACCTGAGGAGCCAGCTTCACTGCTGCCAGGCCACACAGGAGACTCCGGAAAATCAGCCGTGGGGCTAACAGGATTTGGTCTGGACCGCTGCTCTCCAAACGCTCTTTTTAATTCATAGACTTTGTTCTCTTGAATCTTTTTGAGTGTACAGGAAACAAGAGGAAGTCATCGCTTTAGTTTTTTTATTGTGCAAGTTTTAAGACCTACACAAAAGCAGGCAGAATGATGCAGCCTTGGCCATGCTGCATCCTCCCCCTCGCCCTACCTTTTCCACTTTGCGCTGTTATTTGTGAGCAAACACTTAACATCATGTCATTTCCCCCATAAACACTTCCATATGACTTAAAATTAAGAACATTTTGTCACGTGCCATCACACGACACCACGGTCGATTATTCCTCAACCAGCCGTGTTCCGCTCCCCCATTATCTCAAAAATGTCTTTTCAAGACGAGACGCATGCAAAGCCCACCCGCTGCCTTTGGCTGCAGTGTGTCGCCCTGTCCATGGAGCCCAGGGCCTTGGTCGGGCCCTCCGGCCCCTTGCAGCCCCTGACAGCCCAGTCCCCTCTGCTGGGCCCTGACCTCTGCCCCTTCTACCGGGCCCAAGGCAAACACAGCACTCAGGGCCCTCTCCTGCAGCCCCTCACACCCTGGCCTGTGCCCGAGGGACGCTGGCACCCAGGGGTCACAGCTCTCAGCCGATCCCCTCTCTGAGCAGCCAGCCTGCGATCCGGCTGCTGCTTCCTAGAGCTGACCTCTTCTGCCTACTTTGCAGGGCAGCCAAGGTGTTCGAGGACCCCAGGGAGTAACAGGCCCAAAGGGAGTGATGGTAAGTGCTGCCGGCCCACCGGGCAGAGGGCAGGGCCGCTCAGCTTCCCAGGCCCCGGGAGGATGAGGAGACTGGGATTCTAGGCCGCAGTCTATGGCAGCTGCTCCGTAAGCTCGGGTGACATGGGACAGGTCACCGGCAGCTTGTAGCAGTCTGGGACACTGTCACCCACACACAAAAATGACTGAGGCCCGTCCCGCCAAAACCCCTTTCTGCTTCTGCTCCACTCCCGCAGCTGGTAGATGGAGCTTCTGGAGAGGAGCAGATGCTCCCCAATTTGCACCCCGCAGCTATGTCAAGGACAGGATGAGTGGCTCCCAGGCAGCTCCTCTTACTCTCCCGTTTCCTCCTGATCAGGGTCCCCCAGGCATTGATGGCAAGGACGGGACCCCCGGCATACCTGGCATGAAGGTAGGAGCGGGACTGCTATAGATTTGGGGCAAGGGTTGGGCCTCCCAGCTGGGCCCTGAGTTCCGGCACACTGACCCGGGAGGTCAAGGAGAGTCAGGTGTGTCCCTGAAACACCCCTTCCTGACCCCGGGCCTCAGCTGCTGTGCCTGCACTCCGGCAGGAGCCGAGGCCCCTCGGGATGGGGCTCTCATTTGTGCCTCTGGTTCTCTCTCTCCCAGGGCAGCGCGGGACAGGCCGGGCGACCAGGAAACCCAGGCCACCAGGGCTTAGCAGTGAGTATCTGGTGGAGCCACAGGGCTGGTCCATGGAAGTTGCTTCTGCTGCTTGGCCTCAAAGAAGCCAGACACCGCTTTGCCACTTCTCTGTGGTGGAAAGAGTGGCTGCCATTCCAAAGGCACGCCTGGCCTTGCCATCGTCCTGGTTCCCACCCAGCCCAGCCCTCATCTCCACCTGTGGCCTCTGGCCTGGTGTAGGTGTCATCATTTGAACGACCACTCCAGCCTCCCACTTTGACTAAGTGGAATCTGACCGTTTCCTGGCCAAGCTGCCATTGCCTCTGGGAAAGTCATTTTGCTAAGTCATTCAGGACCTGCGGAGTACCCGACCGAGTGACCAAGTGGCAGGGACAGTTATGATCAGGACAGCCACAGTCTTTGTCCCACGGCTCATCTTGCCATTCAAGAACTGCCATCCTCTGGCCCCCTACTCTGCCTGCCTCTTCAGCCACCACCCCTCCTCCTACCTCCTTAGCACTTCCTGGGCATTTCTATGCCTTCAGGCCTCTGCTGGTGCTTGGAATGCACATCAGCACCTCTCTGTGCCTCTCACTGCCTCTCTCCCACACTTTCTAGAAGCTCCTCCCTGCAGGGGGTACTGAGGTCAGAGCCGTGCAGAGTGGTCCTGTGGGAACCTGCGTGTGCTCCCCTTCCCTCCTGGGCCCCAAGTCCATCTGTACACCTTTTCTGTCTCACCAGGGCTCAGGGACTGGGCATAGTCAAGTCGAAATGCCACTGCAGGCCTTCCAGCTGCTCCAGTGGGCAGGGATGGATGGGGGATGGGAGGCAAAGCAGCAGGTGCCTGGGTCTCCCCCATGCCAGGGAAGTAACTGATGTCAACTTCTTTCTATAGGGCGTGCCAGGCCAGCCTGGGACAAAAGGTGGCCCTGGGGACAAGGTAAGGTGTCTAAGATGAACTGGCTTCATCCTAGAAAGGGACCTTGGGGCTGAGCCCAGGGCATGTTAACGGCAAGGCCCTGGCCTGACCCCAGGATCAGTGTCTTTGGCCTGGACACAAGTCGCTCAAGCCTAATGGGCTCCCCTCATGGCGCTACTCCCTGGTGGTGTCCGATCCCATCTCCTCATTCTGGCTTAATGGAGACAGGATGGTATTTAACAAACACAGGAAAACCATGCACTGGAGCTCACAGAGTCTGGCAAAGGAGGCCCTCTCCTTCTGCCTTCTCCCCAGCTCATTTGGTTCCAGAAGCAGTTTTAGACTTACTGGGCTCCCCAACACTTGATGGGGCCACCCAAACTGACCTCAGAATTGGTTTTCCTCAGGGTGAGCCTGGTCAGCAGGGTCTTCCCGGATTCTCCGGTCCTCCTGGGAAGGAGGTAAGTGCCCCTTCCCTTCCCGTTGGCCCTCCCAGGCTGCCCTGCGCTCGGCATTTGGGGACTGGATGAAGCTCTAGGGTGGAGCCTGGCCTGGGACCCACTGACCCAGGGAAGCTCCCTCCTCTGGACCCTCTTTTGCTGTACTTAATGCAGTGAGGCTGGGACTGGTTCTGTCCTGGGGTCTGATCTCTGCAGATGGTTAAGCTGACAGGGGCTGAGAACCCAGCTGACAGCAGTTCCTTCATTTATTCATGCCATAAACACTCACTAGCTACCTGCCACCCTGCTAGAGCTGAGCTAGCTTCCTAATCACAGGGACTCACAGCTTATTGAAGAGACAAACATTAAATAAAGGATCACGTGATGACTAATTACAAATGTCCAGGTCCTTTGAAGGAAAGTGCAGGGGCCCGGAGAGAACACAGAGTGAGGGAAAGCTTCCCAGATAAATCACATCTCTGCGACCCAAGGGTGGGTGGGGTAGGGCTTGGCCAGATATGGAGGGAGGGAGGATTAGAGGCTACTTCTCACCCCTAATCTCACTGTTCCCCAGGGAGAACCAGGGCCTAGAGGAGAAATCGGTCCACAGGGCATCGTGGGGGAGAAGGTAGGTGCCTGGCACAGTGGCCCTCCCTGGGGCCTTTGCAGCAGGGGGCACTGCTAGAGGCTCTCACAGGCACAGCACTGCCCGCCTGCCCAGCCTGTGAGCTTCCCCAGCCAGCACCTCAATTTGCTGGGCTCAAGTGGTGGACAGCCCCCACCTCCTGCCGGTGATGCAGGAGTGGAGGGATCCTACCACTGTGGGTCTGGGGGGAGGTGACCCCTGCTGACCCTCTCCATTTCAGGGTGACCAGGGTGAAAGGGGGCCAGTGGGGCAGCCAGGCCCTCTAGGACGGCAGGTGAGTGCACCCCAACAATGATGGGGGGGTGAGGGGAGCACCTCTTGTTCTTCACTTCATTTATCTCTGGTTTCTTTTCTCCTCAGGGTCCCAAGGGGGAACAGGGCCCCCCTGGAATTCCAGGGCCACAAGGCTTGCCAGGAATCAAAGGAGACAAGGTACCAAATGGGATTGGAGAACACTTGAGAGAGGTTGTAAGACCCAGGGCCCGTGGAACTTGGATCCCCCAATTTTCTGCTCCAATTCCTCGCAGAAAATTTACTTTCTGTGGGCCCCGGGGATCCAAGGGGTGAGGCACACCCACAGAAGGATTGTGGCGGGGAGTGGGGGTCCCTGCGCGTGGACCTATGCACCCCTGGAGCGGGAACTCAGCATGTTCCCGGCTTTCTCCAGGGCTCCCCAGGGAAGACCGGCCCCCGAGGTGGAGTGGTGAGTAGCAGCCGCTCCCCATCCCGGCCCACAGATGTCAGGGGGTGGGGGTCCGAGTTGGGGCTTGGAGTTGCTGTAGCTGGTCCCTGGGTGCGCGCACCTCACTGGTGGTTCATCCTGCAGGGCGACCCGGGGGTGGCCGGCCTCCCCGGAGAGAAAGGCGAGAAGGTGAGCAGCCAGCGTGGGGGCCGCGGGGCAGGGCGGGTGCCCCCAGGGTACCACTGTGTGACCACCTTTTCTGGCGCCCTCAGGGGGAGTCTGGCGAGCCAGGGCCCAAGGGACAGGTGAGTCCAGCCCCTGTTCCCGCAAACCTCCGGCTTGCCTCGGTGCCCAGTTCCTCCTACTCCAACCGCACCCCCGTGTGCTGCTTCTTCCTCTCACCCCTCTGTGCACCCACTCGCCTGGCAGCCAGGAGTCCGTGGAGAGCCGGGTTACCCAGGCCCCAGCGGGGATGCAGGAGCCCCTGGGGTGCAGGGCTACCCTGGGCCCCCAGGCCCTCGAGGACTGGCTGGAGACCGAGGCCTGCCTGGACAGCCTGGGAGACAGGGAGTGGCGGTGAGTTGGTCCCCAGGGAAGGCGTGTCTCCTAGGTTGAAGTCTCTTTGTGGTGCGGCTGACTCCCTCCAGACTGGGAGCTCCCAAGCCCAGAGACTCCCCTAACCAGAAGGGATGGGTGGACACAGCAGGAGGGAGTTAAGGCAGGGCTGGAAATAGGTATGGTGGGGCTGGCAGCCGGGGCTTCCCCCAGAAAGGCCTTTTGGCTTTCAGGGCCGGGATGCCAGTGACCGGCACATCGAGGACGTGGTGCTGAAGATGATGCAAGGTGAGGGAGAGCCAGCAACCTCCTCACAGTCTTTCTGGGCATCACCCCTCTTTCAGACCTCTCCTTATTGTCTTGTGGGGAATCTGCGATCCTGGGTGCTCATTCCAGCTCAGCCTCCTGGGCGGGCAGGGAACACTAGATGATCCTAGTCAGATCTGACCTTTGACTTCTGCAGAATGGCCTGAGGGAGGGGAAGGTTGAACTTTTCCACCTGCATCCCTAGAAGCCAGGGCCTTCAGGACGCTCTGCCTCCACCCCCTCCCCCCCCCATTTTACTGCGAGCTGACATCATCCCACACACCTGTCTCCTTGCCTCCCTCCAGAGCAACTGGCGGAGGTGGCTGTGAGTGCCAAGCGTGAGGCCCTGGGTGCCACTGGGATGATGGGCCTCCCAGGACCCCCAGGGCCACCCGGGTACCCAGGCAAGCAAGGCCCCCACGGGCACCCTGGCCCCCGGGGCATCCCTGGCATCGTGGGAGCCGTGGGTCAGATTGGCAACACTGGGCCCAAGGGTGAGTGCTGCTGTCTTAGGTGGGGCTGGGCCAGCGTGGGGGCAGGGGGCCGGCAGGGGCTGCCCCAGAGTCTCAGGCCAGCAGACTGGTTGCCCAGCTCCCTCTTTTATCTTTTCCCCTGCCCAGGACAAGGTGCCAACACTGCCCCCATCCCCTCAGTAATTTTCTAGAAGATAGTACTGAGCTTGCTTTCTTAGTAGTGACTTGATGGAAATGAATGTTATATTTTGTAACTTGGAGGGGGGCTAATTTTGATTAAATTTACTTAGTGATACCCCACCAAAGTCTCTATAGTGGGGAGATAGGTTATCAAAGTCACAAAGCAGGCGGGCTCTAAAGCTGCATGCTGCCACTTTCTCCTGTGGATGCTGCGCAGGTCATGTTAGTGGACCTGGGGCTTGGTTTATGATCTATATAGAATGGGGGAACTAGTAGTAACAACCTCATAACATTGTCCTGAAGCCTGTTTGGCACCCAGTACTGCTGTAACAAGAGCTATTGCCAGTCAGCTGTTTCCTGTAAGGAGCTTTGTTGGTGGGTTGTATAATCTTCCACCCTTTTCCTGGCTTCCTTTATTTAACCAGTTGTGCAATCATTTCCAACTTTAGTCCCAAACAGGACTAAAATAAAAATAAAATTGAAAAGAAACATTTTCCTTTTTTTTGGGAAACAATGTCTGAAAAACAAAGGTTCCCTCTTTGCAGGAAAACGTGGAGAGAAGGGTGATCGGGGAGACATAGGCCGTGGACATCCGGGGATGCCCGGGCCCCCAGGGATCCCAGGTGAGACTTTGGCCCTGCCTAGTGGCCACTCTGGCCCTCTGCTCTGGGACTGATGACCCACAGACAACTGGGTCTCCTTCATGGAGGCTTTCTACTCGGCCAGCTCAGGCCCACACATCCTGGAAGCATGAGGGTGGGTCTTGCTGGAAACTGGGCTGTCATCTGCGGCTCTGTGGACTTCCTGCCTTGGGCCAAACCTGATCCCAAGCCTCAGCAACTGGGAGGTGGGAGCAATGGACAGTCACACGTGCCTCTTAGAACCTGTGTCTGAGGTGGAGTCCCTCTTCCATGACCTCATGTTCCCCACCTGAAAATGGGACTTAGAAATTCCGGGGTTGAGACAGGAAGAGGCACTCACTACTGCATGTTCTCTTTTTCGCAGGACTCCCTGGCCGGCCTGGACAGGCAATCAACGGCAAAGATGGAGATCGAGGGGCTCCCGGGGCCCCAGGAGAGGCGGGCCGACCTGGCCTGCCAGGCCCTGTGGGACTACCAGGCTTCTGTGAGCCTGCAGCCTGCCTTGGCGCCTCGGCCTACGCCTCTGCACGCCTCACGGAGCCTGGGTCCATCAAGGGACCGTGAGCAGCAGGCATCCTGGGAGAAAAGGATGAGGTCCCCTCTGGGTGGACAAGTCCAGGACTTTTTGTCCAAGACCCAGGAATTCCGAGGAAAAGGAAATTCAAAACATGGAGGAAGGGCAGAGAGGGCAACAGACACAGCAGCAAGTATTGCCAGAGTCCAAGCTCCTAATGGAATAGGGTGGCTTTCCTTCCGAGAGCACCCTAGGATGTCACAAAAGAAACATCTGCCCCATCCTTGGGGCAGTTAACTGAGGCTTCACCAGCACTTGACCCCACTTCATCCCCTGGGCTCAGTGGGTGAATGCTGACAGGGTCCACTCAGGTGGCCAGTCTTAAGCCAGCCCCCACTTAAGGCAGCCCCCACTGCCTTTCTCTGCCATCTGAGTATTTAAACACCCATCTGCCTTCTCTTTCTGACATTAAACTTTTCTGTCCAGCCCCTAGATCCATCCAGGCCTTTCTGTAAATAAAACCCACCTGGGTACAAATCAAGATGTGAGTTGTTGGGCTTACCCTGGGTGCGAGGGTGTTGCTGGGCCTCCACTCCCCCAGGGCAGTGTCAGTAGTCAGCAGGCAGAAAGAACACCCTCTTGAGCCACACTTAGTCCTCCCAGCACTCTCCCAACACATGCCGACACACACTCCTCACGGGTGCCATCTCAGATGTTACCCCAATCCGAGGCGTAATCCTAGGCCACAAAGGTGGCTTTGCCTTCAGTGCTTTGGAAGATCCTGGATCACCTCATTCCAGCTCCCCCAGGTGCCCCATCTGCTGCTGTGGCTGCAGGGAGCCCTGGAGTCTGGAGAGACTAGTGCTCAGTGGAGGCAGAGAAGAGGGTGAGAGCCACAGGAGGCAGAGGGGCCTGGGCCTTCCTTGTTAGGCTGTTCTACTCACTCTGGCACCTGAAGCCTCGGGCTTGGAGAGCTCGTCGACTTGAGGCTCCTCACGTGCAGGCCCTGGGCCCTCAAATGGCCCATCTGTTTCTCTGTGGCTGTGCGACTATGTCCACCAGGAGATGGTTCACAGACCTCAGGCACGGTTACCCTTTGTTCCTCAGGCCGCAGGCATTTGAAGGGGCTGAAAAAAGACCAACTCCTAGGGACCATGGTTGGTAGCCTTTCTAATAGTTCCTGGTGGCTGAATTTCACTCAAGAAAAACCTACGTTCTTACTGTGAGCCACAAGTGTCCATCAGCCTTGCTGACCTGTATCGGTGTCCGGACCTGCTACATTCCACTCTGGTCATGCTGGAACATGTGCTGCCGCTCACATGCACATGTCACATACACGCTATGCCTGCTGCATGGAGCGCCTTCCCCATGTAGTGTCATGGCCAGTGACCTCATTCCAGACCCCTACCCGCATGGCCCACACCCCACCTTAGCACTTACTGCTCTTCAACATACAGTGTGTAACATGCAGCACAGACTCCCCGAGGGCAGAAGCGTGGGCCTCCTTTGCTGCTCTGGTCCTCAGCACATAAAACAACAAGGATCTAAGGTGGAAGAGGGTGATGGGGCTCATTCTCTACTGAATAACTGAAATGTGCTAAGAGGGTAGGATTTAACTGTACTCACTAAAATAAAAGTAATAAATGTGAAAAAAATCATTTGAAAAGACTGAAAAAAAAAAAAAACAAAAACGCCTGGCACATTAATAGTTGACCAGTGAGCAGTTGTTCAGTAGCAGGATGTGCAGAGAAGACACTATAGTCACCAAGCTAGGAAGGGGATGTGGTCTCAGTTTGTGTGTGGCTGAGATGTGTTCCCAGATGGCCTGGAGCATCTGGGGTATGTCCACATCAAGAACAGGGAGCAGCCCCTTGACAACTGAACCTTGGGAGACAAAAATCTAATACCACAAAATAGGAACTCAACTAGCTCCTGTGTTTGCAATTTGGAAAAATGGGGTTTGGGATGCCTGACAGCCCTGGCTGAAAGCCCCTTTCACTGTTGGTTTTGAGTGGCCAGACCCTGTCCAGCCCTTTTCTGGAGTTTAGCAGCTTCTCCCCTAGGAAGCGGCCTACGAGGTCTCAAAGCCCCAAACCTGCCCCAGGACAGAGTTCCAGGCACCGGTGGGATTTTGTTTCCAGTAACTTACCAGACCACTAAGCCTCCAGGCCTGATGTCCAGCCCATCCTACCCACCAGCAGTGAAAGTGGCCTCCCGCCAGAGCTCCAGCATTGCGCTAACAGGCAGTTGTTGGCTTGATTTGGCTGCTGGTTATCTTGACATTCTCTGAAGTGGCATGGATATGGTGGCATGGGGTGGGCTGAGAAGCTGATGAAGTCTGACAAGAACTGCACAAGAGCAGAGGCAGTAGGTAAGAGGCTGCTTAGAAGGATGCTGGTTGGGGTAGAACAGTTCCAAGGAAACTGGCAGGGGAGCTTCTAACATTTATTTCCTAATATACTCCCAGCACCCAGAGCAGAGTGGGGACTCAGTATGTGTGGACAGAGTAGCAAATGGAAAGATAAAGTCTCAATCAAGTTTCTTTCCCGAGGCCTTAGTATTCATAGTAAGTGATGTGTTGGATTCGAGTCCTGAATCTTAACCTTAAGTCATACCTTCCTGCTCATCAACCATCACCCAGAGAGCTAGGGGGCGCTCTAACTCAAAGCAGAGACTTACCTGAGATGCCAACCTCATCTTGCTCATTGGGGAGGACAGTATGATTTCACAGGTTCTTATGAACCATGGGTGTATATTCCTCTTCTTCTGGTCACACTGTTTAGGAAATCCCTCTCCCTGGAAACCATCCTGGATAATAATGCAGACATTAGCCACAGCAGTTCAGGGTGGATTACTTTGCCTTTCCACCAGACTGTACTGAACCTAACACCCAAATTATATGATCTTGTCACCATGGTCTTAAATGAAAAAATTTGAATACAAATTCTTTGTAATTTTCTGTGTATAGCACGTAGGAGAAATCTGAGGCTAAGTGGTACCTGGTAAACTTTCTGCTATGCATGAAAAGTACTCAAGACATTTGAAATTGCATAAAGTACAAAAGTACTAAAGGATTGATGAAAAAAGATCAAGTAGAATAAAGCTTCCTCAGTAAGGGAAGTGCTACACAAATGGGTGAGAGAAAATACAGGTATTCTATCACAAACTGAAACAGAATTTACAGAGTTCTCAGACTTCAACAAAGGGTGATGCCAGGTAGGAGCACACATGCAACACACTCTCCTTAGATTCAGAAATCCACCCTGTTGAGGTTGTGCTAGTTTGCCTGAAGCCTTGCTCTACTTGGTTCATGTCTGCCAGTATTAGGGTACAAAGTGCTGCCTCTTTCCCTCCCTGTTAGGCCTCTCCTCAGATTTCTCAATACCTCAGGAACTTACCAATGTCTTCGGTCCAACCCTATGCCACAAACTGTAGGTGAATATATTAAAAGTCTACTTCTTGGCCCTCCCTGGTGGCGCAGCGGGTTAAAGCACAGCACTGAGAATCTGAAGCCACTTCAGCATGAGTTCGATTCCTGCCTGCCCCGGAGGAGACCACATGGCGAGCCAGACCTCTCCTGACCCGCCCGCTGCTCCCCTCAGCAGTGTACTTCATCAATCTGCCTGTTCTGCTCCCCACTCTGTCTCTGGTGAAGCCTCTCACCGTCCCTGAGCCTCTGGCCTATACCCCAGTTCTGTATGAATAAATAAATAAATCTTTAAAAAAAAAAAAAAAAGTCTACTTCTTTTGCCAACAGAGAAGATCAAAGAGGCAGCAGACACAGACCAGACAGGCCAAGACAATTTGAAGGTACGAAATGGAAACAAAATGGTTCCAAATGAGCTTCCTGAGGAAACATCAGTAAGAAATGGTGGTCCTCTCAGCAGTGTGAGGAAGAACTGAAGAGGACCCTGCAAGTGAGCCACAGTGACGGTGCTGACGTCACTCGGCATTAGGGCTGGCTCTTCACACCACTCTTCAAACACTAGCACTCAGTTCCTCTAGGGTTACACAGACATCTAGGTAACAACACACGCATTATCAAATTAAGACAAAGTACATCAATTTGCATTGGCCATTTTTAATGTTTCAGTTGTGCAGAACCAAAATTTGTATGTAAAGGCACAGAGGAAGGAAAGGCAGTTATCGCAGCATGAATTCACGGAGAAATGGAGCTGGATAAAACCATAGGGCTGCGATGTTTAGCCTTGTGAAAAAAGCAATGCGTGACTAAACTAGATCTTTACTTTTACTGTATTCCATGAAAAGACATCACATCACCCAGTATCAGCTGGGCAAAGTACTTTCTGGTAGATACCATGGGTATACAGTTAATCCCACTTTGGAATAAATGGCCAGTAGGTAAACATTACCAGTGTGGGTGGAAGCCCTAGGTGCAGAGCAAGTTCTATTCAGAAAGTGGACAGAGATCTGAAGCAGTCACATACACAGCTTCAAAACTGGAAAGGAAATATTTAGGCATTTGCTTGGAAAATAAAAATGATTTGCATATCAAGAAATATAATTTTCAAAAATGGAATCAGGTCCAATTAAACACTAGTTATGACTTGCTAATGAAAATTACAAAAATAAAAACAAACTCTTCTGTCCTTGAAGTGATAGAAAACTATATTTTTTCCTGTAATATTAAAGAATCATTAGTATTTCAAGCTTATGTCTCTAAAATTGTCATTTCTTCTCTCCACATTACACCACTTTTAAAATAGCAAAATCTGTTCAAGATGACAATTTCTGCTAAGTGAAGGGATGCACTCTTTATTGGGTAAAGGATAAATCAGAAAAAGTTGAATGTCTTGAAAAATACTAGTTTACTCCTAGTAGGATTAGACCCACCAGGTGGAAAGATAAAGAGAGATTGTCTAAAAAAGCAAAAACAAAACTGAAAGATTTAAAACATTCTATGCATAATTTCTAATTTCAGAGCATTACTGAAAACCCTTGATCAGAGTGTAGCAAGAGAGCACAGAGAAGCTTCAGTAAACACAGAGCATATCTAAAAGACCACTGAAATAATGTCAGTCTCACCAATTATTATCTTCCTTCCTTATTTAGAACACTGATTGGTCAGGTAAAATCCTAACAGCATAAAAGTAAAAACAAGTCACACCTTAGGTATGGGCACAATGATTCAAGACCACTGCTGCTGCCTTACAGAGAAGATGAAGAAGGTGGTGCTCCCTCTTTTAAACATATGCCCCCAAACACCTTATATGCAGATTCCATGTGTCAGTAAAACAGGTTCTATATTTTCTTAGATAATTTTACAAGTTGATGGTAAATTACATGTTAAAGATAAAACTATGCGTCTAAAAACATTATACCTCAAAATTTCATCTAATGTTTTCTTTAAGAAATGGAGTATTAAAATCATTTTTGAAATGAGATATTAAACATATTTAAATCTGGACTTTTCCATACTTAATAATTTTTCTTAAAAACAACAACAACAAAAAAAAAAAACAACCCAACAACAACAAATATTTAAAAACACCAAGAGCACATGCTGCCAGGACAGAAAGAATCAAAAATATTTTTCTTGGGCAACTCAGTCTTGTTTTGAATTCTTCAAAGCTTGAAGTCTCTCTAGCAGCGGAGGATGAGAATAATGCCACATTGAAAACAGCCAGTCAGAAACAGGGAATCCCAAGTTATCTTTGTTTAGTTTGATTAAAGCAGAATATAAGTCTTTAGCCTTCCCAAGTTTCTTGGCAAATGCATCCGCTTGAAACTCAAATCTGCGGCTTAGGACTGTTAGGCAAAAAGAAAGAACCTGAAAAAGAAAATAACAAAGTTTAAATCATTGCCAATCTTTGTTTGCTAAGACTGTAAAGGAGGTTCAGTTCAGAATAAGAGTAGGTCAAAACAAAGATCCTCAGTATTTAGAGTATCAAAGGATGTAGGAATTATCACAAATTGAATATTTCCCCCAAACAGATCAGAAACATATATATTCAAGTGAATCTTGGAACACTGATTGGTCAGGTAAAATCCTAACAGCATAAAAGTAAAAACAAGTCACACTTTAGGTATGGGCACAATGATTCAAGACCACTGCTGTTATCCAAAAAAAATACACATTTTTGAGTATGTGTCACATTTAATGAGGCACGTCACATATTTTCCAACACTCCTACAAGGTAATTACTCTTAAGGTGAAGTTCAGAAATGTTAGCTAATTTTAATTTGGAAGGTCATACAATTTGACTCTGGTGGTGGCAAAATTCTTGGTTATGCTACAGCCCATGCACTACCCTGCTTTCTTGTACTGGTGAGTAAACTAAAGAACTGAGAGACTTTATTTCATCTACTTGTTAAATCTATACAGTGTGGGACCCTCCCTGGTGGCATAGCGAGTTTAAAGCACAACAGTAAGAAGCTAAAGCCACTTCAGCATGAGTTTGATCCTCACCCTGGAGGTGACCCACGTGGCGCCGGAGACCTCTCCTGGCCCGCCCGCTGCTCCCCTCAGCAGTGTACTTCGTCACTCCGCCTGCTCCCCTACCCAATAGGCTCAAAATTTGAAGCAGGCAGGGGTATATATGAGATGTTATTACACTAAAGACTATACATTACCTCATTGTAAGGTGAAAAAATAAACTGGAAGATGATTAATAGTCCAATTAAGGTGGGCTGGCTGTCATAAAAACCAAATGCAGCAAAAAGCTCCTTTCGGCCAATTAATACAGCAAACAGAAAAAAACACAGGAAAGAATTCATCTAGAAAAATAGATTAAAAAAATCAGTCATTACCAATGTAATGTCACCATGGAATTAGAAGTACCAAGAAAGTAGAATAGGACCACATGTTGTAATTTAAGAACAGAGTTTGTGTGATCAAGGAAGAGCAACTTGGGTGCCAAATTTCCCAGCATATATAAACTGTACAGTTTTCTATAAGGATGGGCTTAAGTGGAGTGTCCTATGATTGAGGAGTTAAAGTAGTCAACAGCAATGAGATTATATTCTTCCTGTAAAGGGCCAAATGGATGCTGATACCAGACCGTGAGCAAGCAAAAGGTCTTCTGCCTGCCCTTGATGTGGAAGCGCCAAAGAAACTGGCTTTGTGCATTCTCTCTAGGAATTACAATGAACTATACTGAGAGTTAGAAAGGCCCAAGGAAAACATAGCTCTATCTCTAACAATAAATGGGAGGGGAGAGGAAAATCAAAATTCTATGACAAAATAAAGCCCGGGGAGTAAAGTTGGAGAACAAATACCCTTCTTTTTTCCGTTAGTAGAGTAGGATTTAGAGGCCACTCGTACCATATTTAACAGTGCTATTTCAAACTACTTACTAGATGACTCAAAAAGCTGCCAGTCTAGAATGGGGTTCAAAGCATACAAGTGCAATGAACCCCTTCCTTCATTAAAGGGAAATGAGTTTCTTATTAGACTGAATACTAATACTGAACTTGGATTTGAATTTATTAATGTTTTACTGCTACACAGTCAAACAACATAGCTTCAAGCCAAGGAATTAATTCTTAAACCTACTTAAGTCTTAATTACAGTCTTATCAGAACCAGTCAACAAGATACAGTGCTATTTCACTTGACGCCTGAAAACTAGCTACTGCTGGATTAAAGGCATGATTACCATGGAAGAGAGTGACAGGAATTGTTACTCTCCTCTTTGTTATTTATTATATTTTCCCAATTTCTGTTCAAAGGATGTATATGACTTTCAAATTAGAAAAAGACATTTTTAAAAGATCATTTTACTGCCCAACTTATGGAGGTTCACTTCTTTTGATCTTCATGGTTCCTATGAAATCATGGATGATGATGATGACAATAACCATTTATGTAGTCTTACGCAATTTCAGGCATGACTCCAAACCCTTATAATGTATTAATTCATTTAATTTTTGCATTAGTCCTTTGGTGAGTTATCATTTAATAAGGGACTTCAATAAGAAACAAACAGGCTCACGAACTTGGCTAAGGTCACAAAGGTAGTAATTTAGGAAGCAATATTGGGAAGTAAGGTAGCTCAGCTATAAAATGTGTCTTATACTGTATACTTCTCTCTCACATCTGCCATATTTCCAATCTGACCATCATGCCCTAAAAAGTGAACTGACACTCCAAACTCACCTGGCTAATAATGATATTTTTGACTGTGTGTCCCAACTTCCAATGCCCCAGTTCATGACCTAATACAGCAAGCACCTCCTCGTTCTTACATCCTTGTTTCTTATTCTGAATCAAACAAAAAAATTGAAAATAAATTAATACAGTGATGTAAGCCAATATTACTGCAATAAAAAAAATTTTAATCTTCAAAAATCTTATATATTTATCCCAGCATCAACCCTTCTTAGAGTCTAACTTAAGAAGATAATCAGATTTTTATGAAAAACTGTTCATTCACTTAATGAACATTCTGTGAAGTCACTTCAGAGACAAATGATAAGACTAAACAGACTACAGAAAGATGAATCTCTAGCCAGCAGTGGGGGAAAGAGCCTAGTCCAGCCTGATATAGGCCCCAGAGTCTTCAAAGGACTTGGGAACTAATAGCACTAAGTACTTTAAGAATTGGGGGGAGATGGGAAAGAAAAAAAAGAATTGGGGGAAATGAGGATGGTGCTAAAATAAGAACTGGGATGGCCTCCCTGGTGGCACAGGGGGTTAAAGCGCAGCACAATGAAGCTGTCTGAAGCCAGTGTAACATGGGTTTGATCTGCAGTCAGGGAGCTGACCCACATGATTCAGCAGCCCTCTCCTGTCTTGCCCGCTGCTCCTCTTAGCAGTGTATTTCAGTCAGTCTGCCTGTTCTGTTCCCCACTGTCTCTAGTGAATTCTCTCACCCAACACCTCTGGCCTGTACCCCAGTTCTTGTACACATAAATAAATAAATCTTAAAAAAAAAAAAAAATGAAAAAAAAAAAAAAAAAAAAAAAGGCCACAAAAGAATGAAAATGGGTTTGATAGCCCAAGAAATTTTAATTCTAAATTTGCATGTACCTAATACCACTGCCTTGGAATATATTAACTCAAAATTGAGATATTTACATTTAAAAAGTTGTCAAAATCTATCACAGTAGAGGTTGTTAACTCTCAATAAATATATAAAGATCTGAACAATAGTAAGCAAGTTTTATCTACTGACACATAAAGTATCCTGCAGCAAATAATTAGATGTATCCTAGAAAGTAAAGGCTGTTAGTTTTGAAATAAACTCAACTACTTAAAAGGGTGAAGTACCAAAAAAAAAGGAGAATATGAAACTGGCTTTGTTTTATTATAGCTTAGAAAGATGCAACCTACCTGGAACAGGCAAAAAGATTTATTAGAATCTAAATGTTCTACCACTTTCCCCATCCTTCACCAAATCCTCATTTTAACAGAAAATCACCACTTAAAGAGAGGCTGGATAGATGAATGAAAAAGAAAGATAAATTAAACTAATTTGCCATATGCTACTTACATTTTTATTATCTGTTTTCCTTTTAAATATTGGAAATTAGGTCAAAGTACATTTGATAGAGAAATAAGGGAATGAAATAACTAACCTAGCTCCTTAGTGGCAAAGAGTACCTTTACCTTCAGGCCATTAAAAGGAGTAACACAACTGAGATGGAACAAGGCACAAAATGATATGAAAATAAACTACTATATTATAAAAAAAAGTAACAATTTAAAGCACTAATAGACATTTAATCCTAAGGAAAAACCCAAGATGTACAACTGAAGAATTAAATACAAGAATATTCATTGCAAAAATACCTTTAATGGCAAGAAAATGAAAAATAATCCTAAGAGCATGATGAAGAAAAATGAATCAGAAAAATTGACTGTAAGCTATTTACGGTTAGTGGGGTTATTAATGTTTATTAACATTTCTACTCCTTAATAGTCAATACACAAACACACGATATTTTACTTAACAGTTCATTAATCGCCACTATTATAAGGCAGGTATCATTACCCTCATTCTATATAACATAACAGTCCTTTAGGCTGTTATGTTTATGTTGCCTGCCAGTATAAACTATGGATTCTCCTATAAAACTTCAGTTTGCTCCTTTAAATTTGTTAAAAATTATATGCTTCATCTTCTCTACATCATCCTGACTTAAAAGTATCTATGCATCACCACTGTGTTTTACATTGGTAATCAGAAGCAACTGGATAAATCAGTTTCCTAAACTTCTGTTATATGGCAAAAAGGAAATGTGGACACCAGAGCTAACAAAGTGGATTCACATCCCAAGGCTGAGCCCCATCTGTAGAAAGTAAGGGGCTTATATCACTTTCAGCTTCTACAAGGTTCCAGGAAGGTTTGCATTGGCAGCTGTACATGCTCAGATCTGACGTGGCTACACACCAAGAGGTGAGTTATATAGCTACACACCAAGGAGTCATGGGATTCCCCAGCCCCCTCCTGTCCATTCTGCCTCGTGGCAGTACATGGTCTAGCATAAAGCAAGATTCATACCAAGGGACTAAGTTGCATACCAGGAACTGAGCAAAAGGTCTTTACTAAGACCCCCAGGCTGTTTATCTCAGGTCACCATGCTTCACTTCCATCACATGCATTATCTATTTACTCTCATTTACTGCTTGATAATTAGCAGCAGCTAACCTCTTTTAGGAAAGGATTCAGAAAATTTCCTCAGACTGTCAGGTTTAAGAAGTGTCTTCTCTTGTGCTCACACTGTATCCAGTACATACAGTTTCACTGCAGCAATTACATTGTACTGATTATGACTTTCTTCTCTTCAGACTAGAAGCATCTTGAACATAAGTTTTGAGAGTATCTCAGTACAGAGTATCAGATTTTATAAACATTTTTTAAACAAATTACATAATGTACTCAAGGTCACACAGCTACTAAATGACAGAACTAGGATTCGAAGCCATGCCTCTCCATTGTCAGAGTCTATACTTACTATAACTCACTGAAGTTCAAAATTAGGTTTTTCTCTCCTCTTTATCCTGCTTGTGGGACTTTGATCAGAAACTACCAGGGACATACAATGTCCCTATTTTAAAGATCACTCATAATCCTAAAATTTTCTAATATGTATCGCTAGCTTTATTGTATACATTTTGGAAAATTGTACAAGGTTGTTAGGTAGCAGGTAATAATAATGATAATCTCATAAAAGGGCCATGGTGTTTTAGTTTCCTTATGTTCAGTCTTCCTGAATTCAACACTCATTACATAGAAGTTGATACTGAGTTGTCTATAGGAACTATTTATAAAAACTAAGCCAGAATCTCTTAGGGAAAAAAGAACTCACTTTAACTTTAGCTTTTATTTCTTCACTGTCCCCTTCGCCATCATTGTGGGGTTCCATGCCAGATTCCTCCTGGGTATCTTTGTTTAGTACAGAATACTCTTCTAGTAGAGTGTCAAACAAAACTATTCTCTTGTTCTTGAAGAAGCCATAAAAGTAAGCATTGCTGTGGGAAGAGCGTTTAGATCCTAAGAAAAAGACAGTTCAAAGCATGGAAAATAATTAAAAAGTTTGGGGTCCTTTGGAGAGATTCCTACAAAGTGAATTACTGAAAAGAACATTTACATGTTCAAGTTGCTTAATATTTGATGAAAATTATATTAATAAAAATCACTAACAATGGAGTGCAGTCTTACCAACAAATATTTATGCTCATTGCAATTTCCTAATAATAAGTAAAGCCTATATATGCAATAGCAGAAGGATTAAATTATGATAAAACTATGAAATGGAATTTTAAGCAACCAGAAAAAAATTATTACACTTTCAAAAAATGTTAACAGGAAAAGTTAACAAATACATGAAGATCTAACACTTCATATATGTAACATTCCATTACTGTCATGAAAAAACTTGTATGTAAATAGGAAAGCATAAACAACTCTATTAAGAAATATGTCAGAATATTGAAGTGTTTACTACTGGGTTCTAGAACTATGTATTTTTGTTCCCTCTTTTATATTTTTCTTTTTACAAAGCTTTTAAAATATGTTTATTTCTACATCAAAAAAAAAAAAAAAGAAAAAGAAAGTTCTAAGAAGACTGGGAAAAATACTTAAATTTTAAACAACAGTTAGCAGAAAATGAACTATGGATGACTTTTATTTTTTTCCTTGTATTTTTCTAAATATTTCACAATTTATTGGCTAAAAGCAGACTCTGGGTTCAAATCTTAGCTCTGCCATATATTAGTTGTGTAAATAAATCAGTAAGAAACTTGACAGATATTCCTATTTAGTAAAGGCCAATAACCAGATCATTGGATTGGATTAAGGGCTACAAAAGAAATCTAATTTGTAAAACTGCTTGATCTATCTAAACTATTATTACTTATATACTTAAAAAAAAAACACCACTTATTTCTCTTGAGAATTTGAACTCTCATAAAAAATAAGAATCTGGTAGCTACCTACTCATTTTTCTAATGAAAAACATATTTAGCAGTATAAAAACCTTTAGAAAAAGGTTAAAGGCATTGATAAATAACATTAATTTAATTACTTATTTATCTAATTACTTACCTTTTGTTTTTTTGCCAGGAAGAGTCAAGTGGTCCTATGTATCATTCTGAGATCTTACACTTCTATCTCATTTCCTAATTCTAATTTTTAAGCTAATTAAAACATATCTCAGAAGTCACCTGAAGTTATTCATGGAAGTTTACAGGTTATATACATATAAATAAAGCAAATTTCATATCTTATTATCTCCCATTGTTCAAGAATACTCAAAGAGTAGCCCAAAAGATACCTATAACCAAAATCACATAGGGGTATTTATTAGAAGTAAATACGAGGGGCCTCCCTGCTGGCACAGGGGAGTAAGGTCTAATACTCTGAAGCTGTCTGAAGTGAGTGTAACATGAGTTTGATCTTCAGCCAGGGAGCTGACCCACATGGCACAGCAGACCTTTCCTGTCTCGCAGCAATGTATTTCAGTCAGTCTGCCTGTTCTGCTGCCCATTCTGTCTCTGGTGAATCCTCTCACCCTCTGGGCCTCTGGCTTGTACCCCACTTCTTGCATGCATAAAAAAAAAAAAGTATGCTAGAAGCATCTTACTAAGTCAGAATCTGTGGAACTGGAGTACAAGAATGCCTTTTTATTTTTATTTTTTACATTTTAAAGAGACAGATTTATTAGGGAAAGGAGAGGAGAAAAAGAGAGGCCCCTGGGTAGTCACAAGTGGGGAGGGGAGCTGCCTCAAAGAATCTGTCTTTTAATTAGCTTTCTAGGGAACTCTCAGTAAAATTTAAGAGTTCCTGCACCATATGTAAATTTTTTGTATCTCTGTGCATTAATGTAGTGTAGGTATTTAATATATTCAGCTGTTTACTGAATATATCAACTATCTCCACATGAGATATTAAGTATTTAAGAACTCTGAAAATCAAAAATGGCCTATGCAAATGTAAGGCACTGCCACCTGTGTCTTCATCTTTTCACAACAGCTCACCTTCACTGGCTCTCAGCAGCAGTGAATATAGTTAGCCACTCCTTACCTGAAACACTTTTCTTCGCCTGGATTTTGAAACACCACTTTTCTACTCCAATGGCTCTCCAGCCTCTTGTTGGCTCTCCCTTCCTGCTGATTCTAACCTTTCTCTTTTCTAGGGCTCCTCCAAAGCATTAAACACTATGTGCCTGCTATTTCCACATCAGTGTTCTTAGTCCTGCCCTCTCCCTAGAACTCCAGACTCTCCTATCTCCAGCTGCCTATTTGATCTATCTGTAACTCCACATGGACACCTAAATCGTCTTTTGTTGTTTACATCTTATGCATGATTTTTCCTTCCCAGTATTGGAATCTTCTTTCAAAGTTAGGGAATTTCATACCATGTGAGTCTTATGAAAGACCATATCTCATTTGAGAAATTGAAAAAGCCAGATATTTGCTTTCCCAGCTCCCCCAGCAGCTAGCTTTATGCCCTAATTCAACCAGATGTACCTACTGTGGAACTCTAATAGTCAATTACTCAAAGAAGCAGGGCAGTGAAGGAATTAATTCTGCAGATGCTAGTGGCATGAATAATAGGAGTGCAAACTCCTGCATCCCACAGAGAAGGAAGTAACATCAGTGTCCTCATCAGGTTGGTGCTGCTGTGTGACTGAGTTCCTTGCCTCACTATAGGACAGTCCATTTTCCAAGCTTGCTAGGCATAACTTACCTGATGACTGTGTGAAGTATCAAAAGTTGTTTTAATAAGGAATTTTTCTACTTAAATCAGTCACATTTGGCATCTATTTCTTGCAGAATTCTGGCTAATACAATGATGCTATCTCAAAATGTAACACATCCAACTTAATTCCTCACAAACCTGTTCTCTCAATTTTTCCCAAAACTACCTTTTATCTAATTGCTCAGGCCAAAAATCTAGGTCATTATCTAAGACGCCTCTCTCTTTCCCTTACTCCTTCACAAGTAACCTGTTAGCAAATTCCAGCAACCCTACTTCAAAAACACAACCCAAAAGTACCCACCTCTTTCCTTCAGTTACCACGGTACTAGTTTAAGCTACCATTCTCTCCTATCTGGACTACTGTGACAATCTCCTAACTGCTCTCCCTGCTTCTACGCTTCCTTACCTCCAGCTACAATCTCTTTTCTCCATACAGCAACCCAAGATATTTAAAAAATACAAATCTGACCATGTCACACTCCTGCCTAAAAAATTCAATGGCATTTCCTTGAACATAAAATAAAATCTGAGTCTTTTGCCCTGATTACAAAGGTCTTCACAATCTGACTCTTGCCTATGCCCAGATTTCACACCAGAGCACACTTCTACTATACTGCGATGTAGTCACACTACACTTTTTTCTGTTTCATAAAGATACAAAGATCTCTACTGATCTCAGCAGGTGGGTGACTTCAAGTCTCAGCTTAAATTCATTTGCTCAGAGAGGTCAACTGTGATGGCCCAATCTGAAGAATCATTCATTCTTCATCACATCATAATAGTTTAGTTCTCTGCATGCATTTGCTATGTAATATTTTTTTGGGAAGGAGTCTTGGTTTTACTAAGTATCCCTATCAATTTACAAGTTCATATGGCATGTTACCACTATTACTAGCAATTAATGCATTCAAAATATTTTTGAGGATAATTACTAAAAACCATATATTATAAATGAGTAAGCTTGTTTAGCAAAGGTAGGTTGTCCAAAGTCAACTTTGCGACTGAGCTAGAATTCAAACTGAAGCCTATTAACTACAAAGCCTGACCTCTGAAATACATCCCTTCCAATAAAATTTTGATTTTTCATAAAGTTGCAGCTCATGTTAAAATCTTCCTTGTTGCTTTCCCTAATTCATCTAAGCTCATACAGCATCAATAGTTCACATCACACACCTAATCAGTTACCTCCACTGTCACATCATTAGCTGTTGTTTGTGTCAGCTGATTGTAACTTAAGTAACCAGCAACAGTCTCTCAGAGGCTGTTCTGTTGTGCTCTAGATTAGTGTGCTGCCAGTTTAAAATTACCTTAATGAAGTATGAACCGGCTTCTTATTCTACCACTTCCCCACAGAATGTCCAAATTGTACTTTCAGTCAGGCTGTACAGCTTTAGTTATGCTATGTCTGAGATTTCTATCCTCGTGGTGATATTAATTCATCCTTTCCAGCTGTGATCAATCTCTGTTCTCCCCTGACCCTACCATCACTCTCAATTTCTACTCCTTCATCTTACATAGCTGGTTCTCACTGGTAATTTTTTAGTTGAAAGAACAAATGGGCAAACAATGGTTTATTAGTCAAGTCCAACCCATTGCTTATTTTTAGGCTTTTACTAGAACCCAGCCATACTCGTTTGTTTATGCAGTATCTTTGACAGCTTTTTTACCAAAATGACCAAGTTGAATAGCTTTGACGGAGACCATCTGACCTGCAAAGCCTAAATATTTACTGTATAGTACTTTGCAGAAAACATTTGCCAGACCACAGTTTAGAGGAAGCACAACTAAAACGAGAGGGGTGAAGGGGCTCTTCGGCTAAAGGTCCCACAGTTGGTAAGCAGCCTCCTTCATTTATACGGATTTTAATTTAGATCCTCAAACTCATGGTGCCACACTACAGTTTTCCTCTGCATCTTTATAGGCTTCCTTGATACTTTAGTAGTTTTATGAAATAGAAAGCTTCACTTTAAAAAACAATCATTAAAAAAAATCCTTATGAATCTGATATACTCTGTGGAACAACAGTTTTTGGTAATCTGCTGGTAAAAGCAGCACCCTTCAGAACAGTGGAGTTTTGTGGTAGAAGACAATGCCAATCACATTGGTTTTATTAGTTCCTAAATTAGTGCTAAACAGAATCTGTGTGATTCCCACTCACTTGTGTAAAGGAGCTAGGCGGGTAACAGAAGTGAATAAACAAGTCCAATAGATATAACAGTAATAAAGGCTTCGAAAACAATATGGAAAGCTGACCAAACCCAGCTGCAGGCAAGAGCAGGATCTGGCATCAGGCCACCAACTTCTATCTCTAGTTTATGTCATCAATTCCTATAAATGATAAAAAGCCAAACTGTAAACCCCTAGCTTTTAAATAACTAATTTTTAAAAACTTGATTAACCCTTCATTAAAATGTATGAATAAAACAAGCTTCTTATCCCTAGACAGCCTTACCTTCAACAACATACACCTTTGTCAAAGGAAAGTCAATACTCTTTGCCATTACTTCAATTTCTTGTTTAAGTTTTCCCTCGGGCAGAGGTGTAAATTTGTCAAATAAAGGGGCAATATAATCAGCGTAGATTGTGACAAGTACCTGAAAAATAAATGTCAGAACAACCTATGAATATTTCTCAAATAAAAACTACTCATTATACAGATTTACTTATATCAAAGCTCTGTGATTCTGGCCTTGAGAATAGTCTTATTTTCTCTGGTTGTCCCAACCCCAAATAGTACCAGGCAGTAGTAAGTGCTCAGTATCTGATGAATTAAAATGAGTAGTCTCTCGGTGATAAGAATTGAAAAGTCAAATGATCCATTCAAAAACTATCTTGTAGACTTCTGACACTTCATAATCCCATCACTATAACCTGGAATTGCACTTTTTTAGTGTAACCTTGAAAGATCTGAAGTCTGCTAAAAATTAATTATGAGAGCTTGACTCTGTGCTTTTTTTTTTTTTTTTTTAATATTTTTGCACAGAATTGGGGTGTGGGCCAAAGGAGCAGAGATGAGAGGGGAGACAGAGTGAGGGGCAGAATAGGCAGATTGACTGAAACACAGCTGAGGGGAGCATCAGGTGAGACAGAAGAGGTCTGCTGAGCCATGTGGGTCAGCTTCGTACCTACCCTACACCTGGATCAAACTCATGCTACAGTGGCTGGTGACAGCTTGACAGCACTGAGATTTTAACCTCTGCACCATCAGGGAGGCCCCTCTGTGCTATCTTTTTATGGTTGATCTGTTAAAATTAGTTGTCTGTAGTTCACAACTGCATACTTTAGTTGAACTAGCATTTCCTTAAGCAACTTTGGGGCATTTCTCTGCTCTCTTTCCTCTCACATCAACCCTCTAGCTGTAAATCCAGCTAGAGCCCATTTTCTGATCTTGATCCCACCCTGGAAAATGAAGCAATGAGCATCACCAAGAATTCAGATTAAAATAAACCTTAACATCCATGGAGTTGAAGAACTGATAGATGTTATTTTCTGGGGTCTATGAACAGACTATCTTGATTGTGCCAAGATGTGTGAATATTAGAACATGGGAAAAAGAAGAGAAAAAGAAATGTGAGGAGGAAAAAAGTGGATAAGGGGTGTGAGAGGAAAAAGAGAAGGAAGAGAGGGAAGGAGAGGTGGCAGTGGGGGAAAAACAAAAACAAAAGGGAGGAGGGCAGAGGAAGGGAAGGGCAGCAGGGGGAGGAAAAAAAAAAACGGTTACATTTATGCTTTCTTCTTCTTGTCCCTCTTAAATCTAATCCTCTCTTCAAAACAACTATGATTTTCAGGTGTTGGAGCTCAGTCAAGCATCATTCAGTTATCAAACTGAATCATCCATTCTGCTGGCAACTCACAAATGCGCGGCTCCAAACTTCCTGACAACTGGGTCCTTAGTAACAACTAGACTCTAGGATCTGTGTCAGCACAAGAAGAAAATCTAAGGTCAAATCTCTGGCTTCTATACTCAAAAGCTAGTAGAAGAATTTGGATTGCACCAATTCATACTTCACTTGCATCTTAACAACTGTTTATATGCTGATGAAGATTAAATCACAATTATCATATCAAGGAAATTCTGTAAGAGAAAACAAAACTCAAATTTTACTCACCAGAGAAACAACTAATGTGAAGAGCCAGGCATAAATAAAAAAATAATCACCTCCAATTTTAATAATGTAAAGTAGAAGTGAAGATACAGGCAATAAGATGCATTGAGTTACAATGAATTTCTTAATTGCATCTTTCAAAAAGAACCCCAACGTCTGAAAAGAAGAAAATATCAACAAAAGAAACTGACAAACTGCTTTTTAAATAACTATTAGTTAATACAAAGGCTACATTATCAGAGCAATTTTAATAGTTAACAGTGAGACTATATTATATCACAGCAGGTAGCTTAAGACAGTCAGCCTTGCTTTTTACATTTAAATTTATTTAAATACTATTAGCTGAAAAGCACTAGACAATGATACTAGAAAAGTTTATGGCAAGACTTTAAACTATGATCTTTACTGTATCTGCAATTTCATTTATCTCAATTCATACCCTAAAAGAGCAAATTACATTTCAATTACTAGAAAAAAACAAAAGCTCCAAAGATCTACACACTTAACGAGAACAGTTGTATTCTCTTAATACCTGTTGATTGAAACCATGTTTTTCTTCTATGACGAAAGTATTATAAAGACTCCATGGTAAACCAGTGAATGCACTGAAAAGTGTAGCCAATAGCAGAAACACCAAAGACTGAGTAATCTAAATAGAAGGAAAAAAAAAGGCACCTGTGAAATTATAATGTATTAGAATACTTACTATATCACAACTAATGCTCACTTCATGTAGCACAGGCAATGTTCTGGGCTTGTGGGTATTACAAGTCTGAAAACATCACCTCTACCCTTAAAGTTTACTTGTGAGAGAAGGCAACAGAAAAATTCTTTTATTATACAGGCAAGTTGAAAGTTACTTGATACCAGTATGGATTTGTATTTTTCACGTGTTTAATGATCATAGAAATTTTTGTCTTTGTGTATTTTTTCTATGCCCATTTTTCTGCTGAACTTTATGTACTCTACTTTCTAAAGCAGACTTTATTTTTTCCCCAAAGATTTATTTATTAGTTAGTACAAAGGCTACATTATCAGGGTACAGACCAGAGGTTCAGGGGGTGAGAGGATTCACTAGAGACAGAGTGGGGAGCAGAAAAAGCAGATAAACTCAAATACACTGCTGAGGGGAGCAGTGAATGAAAGAGGAGAGTCTGCTGTGCCATGTGGGTAGCTCCCTGGCCAGGGATAAAACTCATGCTGCAGTGGCTGCAGATAGCTTCGTAGTGCTGTGCTTAACGCCATGCATCACCAGCTCTTTCTATATTAAGTGCATTAATTTTTGTTTAGTGACATGGAGTAATTATCCCTCCAATTTGTGGTTTAACTTTTAAATTTGATAACACCAGTTGTTTCTACAGAGGATCTTTAAATCTACACAAATTTATCTTTATGGCTTCTAATGTAATATAGGTTACATTGTAAAAATTTATAGTAAGATTTGTTTTAATACTTTCAAGGTTTGTTATATATTAAGTACTCAAATCCTGTATATCTTTTTACTCAGTTGTCACCCCCCTTTATCTGCAGTTTCATATTCCATGGTTTTATTTACACACATTCAACCAGTCTGAAAATACTACATACAAGAGTTTTTGTTAATGTTTTTTTCTTAAAAAGGTCTATCTTATTTATTTATGCATACAAGAACTGGGGTCTAGGCCAGAGTTTGAGGGGGAGTGTGGGTGGTGTGGGGTGGGGAGAGGGTTTACCAGAGACACAGTGGAAAGCAGAACAGGTGGATCCATGAAACACATTGCCGAGGGAAGCAGCAGGCAAGACAGGAGAGGTCTGCTGTGCCATGTGAGCTAGCTCCCTGGCTGGGATTGAACTCATGCTAAGACCTCAATCCCTGAGCCACCAAGGAGCTCTCACTCACTTATTTTATATACTTAGAATACTTGTGGTTATTTTCTTGTCTTTAGTCTTTTGTATTAATCACAAAACGTTTCATCCTATGCCACTTACAAGCTGCTATGGGACTATAACTGAGCTTTATCATATCTTTTTAAAAGTTCACATATCTCTTTGTAACAGGGTGGTCCCTAGGAAAAGGGGAAGTTCCAGGTTCCCTGCCCCACCCAGGAGGGTGGCGCTAAGCAGAGAAAAAGAGGAGAAGGAAGGAAGCTGGATGGAGAGCCAGGAGACCTGAGGAAGCCACATTGAGTAGCAAGCATGTGATGAAGAAAAACCATGCTTGTTTCCTGACCCTGGACTGGTTAAGGCAGATGTGGGTGAGATACCTCTAGGGAGGTGACTATGGCAGTGTTTATATTGATTTTGATTTTGCTCTTTTCCTCCCAGATTTGTCTGGCCATTTCTGACCCTTTTCCATGGGTCCTGGCAAGAAGGTGCTTTAGTCTAGTGGCAGCTTTCAGGCCTTGCTTGCGCCAATCCCTTTTGGGTTGACTTTTGCCCACAAGGGGATGAGTCACTTCAGGTGTTTGATTTAGAAGTTATATTCTTTGTGTTCTGTATTGTATATTCACTGTATTAAAGTCCCTTTTCATAAAGTTATATGTGTTTTGTCTTGATGCGGTGGATGGCAGAACCCACTTAGTGCAGGCAGGTTTTGGGGCTTCAGGGGTTCCCCTCTCTCACTGTTGTAACAGATTTTGTTCTGTAACAGATTTGGGGAGGCCTATAACATCTTCTTCAATAATTCATTGTATAATTTTGATAAGGTACTGATATCAAGTTTAGTATTCTACACAGAATCTATCACTTTCTCTTTCTGAAAATCTAAACATTGTGTTCAACTGCGTCTTCTGAAACATTGCCTATTATCCTTAGTTTATCAATTTAACATTGTAAGTTAGAGGACCTTCTACAAGTGAATGTAAAAGTCACCAGGCCTCCCAGGTGGCACAAGGGCTTAACTCTCAGCACTGTGAAGTTATCTGTAGCCATTATAGCACAAATTTAATCCCTGGCCAGGGAGTTATCCCACATGGCACAGCTGACCTCTCCTGTCTCTGCTACCCTCAGCAGTATATTTCAGTCAGTCTGCCTATTTTTCTCCCTTTTCTAGTCTCTGGTGAATCCTCTCACCCTCCCACCCCTGCACATCTGGACTACACCCCTCCTTTTGTATGCATAAATAAATAAAATAATTTAAAAAAAAAGGTAAGTCCCCTATGTTTAGAGTTTTGACTAATTTAGAACAACCTGATTCAGTCTTTCTTAACATCTCATTTAACCATATACATAAACACTCTTTAAAATTAGTTTACCTATTCTTTTACACATAACTAAAGAGTCCAGCCTAATATCATGAGACCAAAAAAAAAAACTTTAATATAAAGTTAGTCAAACAAAAAGAAATGTAGTTTCTGACCAATCTAGTTAATGAATTACATACCTCATATTCTGATCCAAAGCCAGCATAGCCACAAAACTGTCCAGAGAGTCTCCAGAGATAAGGGATTCCTCCAAAGATAAGAATAAGCTATAAAAAAAAGTAGACTTTGATCACTTTGGGCAATACTGACAACTATCATATGAGATCATGTTATAGAGAAAAAAATAATTATCTCCAAAGAAACATTCAGGAAAAAATATTCATTCAGCTGAAAACAACACTAATTGACATAGTACAAAGTTTAGACTTATAAATATTATGTTATATGTTAATGTTATATATATATATATATATGCTTTTTTTTTTTTTAAAGATTTATTTATTTATGCATACAGATCTGGACTACAGTTCAGAGGTGCAAGGGAGGTGAAAGGATTCACCAGAGACAGAGTGGAGAGCAGAACAGGCAGATCAATGAAGTATATTGCTGAGGGGAGCAGCGGGCTGGTCAGGAGAGGTCTGTGGCACCATGTGGATCACCTCCTGGGCCAGAGTTGAACTCCCACTGAGCTGGCCACCACCAGCTTTGCAGTGCTGCATTCCAACCCAAGCCATCAGGGAGGGCCCATGAATTATATTTTAATAAAGTCGTTTAAGAAAAAAAGTTTGTTAAAAAAATCACAATGGCTTTATGATTCAGAACTAAGCAAAGAAAATGTTAAGCAATTTGTCAAAACCCCACAGTAAATGAGGGACAGAAATGTGATTTGAACAAAGCTATGTGGCTCCATAATTGTCTTTTCTTTGAAAGGAAAGGTTTCATAGAATTTGCTTGTAAAGCCATCTGGCCTGAACTTTTGCTTGGGCAGATAAAATGATATATCATCTCACATCTGTGAGAAGGGCACATATTAAAAAGACTATCATCAACAAGTGCTAGAGAAGCCAAGAAAGAGGAACCCTCTTACACTTTTGGTGGTGGGAATATAAACTGTTACAGCCATTTTGGAAAGCACCTGTGTTTACATTGAAAAATTAAAACTGGAGGGCCTCTCTGGTGGTGCAGGAGTTAAAGTCTTAGCACTTTAACCAGCCTTTGGGGCATGAGTTCGATCCATGGCAAGGGAGGTGATCCACATGGCACAGCAGACCTCTCCTGTCTCTCTCACTGCTCCTCTCAGCAGTGTATTTCAGTAAATCTGCCTGTTCTGTTCCCCAATGTCTTTGATGAATTCGCTCACCAACAACCACATACACACCTCTGGCCTACATCCCAGTTCTTGTATACATAAATAAATTTTTTAAAAATCTTTTTTTAAAAAAAACCCTAGAATTGGAAATTCCATATGACCCAAAAATCTCACTTTGGGGTTTATATCCAAAGAACTGAAACCATCAACTCAAAAAATTACATGCCCTACAAATTGTAGTATAATTTATAACATCTAGCACATGGAAACAACCTAAGTAACCCACTGACAGAAGATTGGATTTTAAAATGCGGTATATCCACAATGGAGTATTATTCAGTCATAAGATGAAATGCCATTTACACCAAAATGGTTCAGAGGGGTTATGTGTAGTAATCAGCAGTGTACTTCATTGATCTACCTTTTCTGCTCCCCACTGTTTCTGGTGAGTCCTCTTGCCACCCCTGCACCTCTGACCTGTACCCCAGTTCTGTATGCATAAATAAATAAATCTTAAAAAAACAAAACTAGCTGGCGCTAATAAATGAAATGAGGCTTGTGAGGTTAAGAGGGAAAGGTTAGAGAGCTAAAATATAGGCAGGAAGGTGACCAGAGACTGTTACAAGAACAACTTATAATGTTCTTTCTTGGCTTCAGAATGACAGTAACACATCCTATAATTTTCATCTGACTAATCAATTCTGGCTCTTTTACTCTACAACCATTACTATCAATAACAAAGGTTAAGAAAACATTCTGGGATTATAGGTATGATGTCCTTTTGTATTACAAAAATAAGAAAAGTAAAAAAACATTACAATCATTAGACAATTTGATAAATTATCTATCACAACATAAATTACTCACAGTGCCTTCAATCTCTGAATAGAGTCCTGACCAGAAGCTGAAAGTACTTTTATCCAGCTGATAGAGTCGAGATTTTGCAAATGTTTCTGCATCCATGATCTGTCCTAACTCCATTGGTACATGAGTTGTTGTTTTATATATTCTCCTCTGAAATATTTTGAACAAAAGATTTTAATAAAACAATCAAACCAATTCATTATTAAACTGTCATTTGTAATCAAACATTGAATGGTTTACAATGTTATCTTATCACTTAAGCCAATTGAATTTGCTTTGTACAAACAAAGAAAGATACTGTATTTGATCAAGTACACTGGCCTCTAAAACAAATGATGCAGCAAAGTAAAAGCAAAACAAGAGAATCTGAAGCTAGCTGACCAGCTAAAATTAAAATCAAGGTTGTCATCACACATCAGTTTGCATATATAAACCAAAACTCTAACATCACAATAGGCACCACTCATTCCAGCCATAACTAACACACTTTCTACAATATAGAAAGCAAAATCAAGGAAAGCAGATTTGATGATTATAAGTATTAGCAGGTATTATATATAGCTGGTTAAGTTTAGAAGTCAAATTTAAGAGAACTGAAAATATTAGATCTTTAAGGCAAACTTCCTTATTATACTGTTATAAAAGGTAAAAGCCTTAATACAGTGAACAGAGACACACAAAATAATGAAGAGTATCTCCCACAATGGTTTCACAACAGTTTCTCTACATAGTGCTATGCATCTTACCAAGCCTTCAATAAAAGTCATTATATTAAAGCGCAACTCAGTAAACACAACACTGGAAAAGTAGTTGCTATAACTGGATTTTTTTTTAAGATTTATTTACTTATGCAGACAAGAGCTGGGGTGCAGGCCAGAGGTGCAGGGGGTGACAGGGCCCACCACAGACAGAACAGGTGGACTGACTGAAATACAGTGCTGAGGGAAGCAGTGAGCAAGACAGGAGAGGTCTGCTGTACCAAGTGGGTGTGCTCCCTGGCAGGGGATCAAACTCCTCCTGCAAAAGCTGTACATAGCTTCATAGTGCTGCAGCTTAACCTGTTGCTCCACCAGGGAGGCTCAATTGGACTAGTAATAAAAGATAGACTATTGTTCAACATCTCAACTACATACACATTTACTTTATGTGAAAGATCTTTTAAAATATTTTATGCTAATGAAGCTATCCAAAAAGTTACATTGGATAACCTCATGCTACACAGGCTTAAAGCTTCTTTGAACTTCACAGACTAAAGAAGATCAAGATATAACCAAACATTCAGAGATATAGAAAAACTTTCATTTCCAGCTTAAAGATTCGTGCACAATGTAAAATAAGAGAAGAAATTTACAGAGGAAAATAGTTGTACTGCTTAAGAAAAAGTCCATCAAATAAAGTTTTCATAGCCATTCTGGTTGATAGTTCGGTGACAATAATACAAGAGGTGGGTAAAACAAACCAACAGCAAGAGGCTGCAATAAAGTGATCAACTGATCTGAAAAGCCCTATCAGTTAAAAAGTTCAGACCTCTGGTCAGTTATAGCTATGTCCAGCAAATTGTTATTAAGTAACTTTCACTTTGTAGTATGCTGCTTTAACTATAACAAAAATAACAGATACAAGAAAATTTTGTTCTTTGAGCAAAATAATACATACACTATTTTAAAGGAACAGAGTTCAGTTCCTTGGAAGGACTGTGAAATGATCTGCTAATCCTGTGATTGGGCATAATTACACAAATTTGGGTTCCAACATGTTGGCATCTTCCTTTTGAAAGAATGCCAATGATAAAGGCTGTCTGGGTTCCCAAGCCGTAAAGAAGCTGTGGGGCTGACAGGAGAGCTCACTCCTGACAAAGCCCAGACTTCGTCCTCTCAAGGCCCGAACCGGACTGGGTTCTATGACCGCGTTTTGGAATTTGCCGAGACACCAGGTGCCCTCTAGGCTAAGTCAGGGGATTCATGGGGAGCCGCTAGTCGAGGCCGGTGCTGGGCCGCAGCAATTGGCCAGAGACTGGGGGTGGAGGTTGAGGCTACCCTAGGGCTGGCCAGGTGTCGGGGTAAGGTAAGGTGGGCCCTGTCGAGCTCACCTGTCGTTGCGCTAGGAAGGTCTCCCAAAGGTACACTGTCCAAGAGAAGAGCAGCACTGCCCCGAAGATAAGCTTCTCCGCCGGCATCTCAAACAACGCATCCAGAGACGCCCACATCCCCATGGCCACCCGGTTCTGCCGGCTCCTCCAGCGTGCACCGGTGCCACACAGACACCGGTCCCCTTAGGGCGTCGCCGCAGTGTCACAACGATATCTGTCCCTTCCGAGCGACCGGGCACCGATAAACCGCCCCTCCCCACCACCTCTGCTCAAGTCAGTAGTATCGCACAAGTACTCCTGCCCACTCCCCTAGGGCCGCCTAATTTCTGAGGGAAAACGGCCAGCCCAGCCCCGCTCACTGCAGGCCCAAAGCCCTGAGCCCAGAAACCCGGTTCCGGCCTCCGCGAACCTTATCTCCCGCGCCGGACGTGAGCTAGCAAAGCCGCGTTACACCAACACTTTTCCCCTTCCTCCCACGCTGGGCTCCTGTCGAAGGTTCCGGTTTTCCTCATGGCCCCCTCAGAGCAGTACAATACAGAGCTTTCCTTAGAAAGCAAAGGAGCAGGTTTCCATCACTTCGTTTAGGGTGTTGACCTGACTAGTCTGCGGCCTCTGCTATACCTTCCCCAGACTCTAAAAATCATTCCTCTAACTAGTTATTTTACGACTGTGGTTTATTTATCACTGGGATACTTTAAGACTAAAATAATTTAAGTAATGTAAGTACAGTGTTTTTGGCCTGTGAGTTTTCTGAATTTAGGCATGTTAAGAGAGTGTTAGGTAGTGATGAGAATTTTCAATTAATGATTTCCCTTCTCCCACCCCAAGTGAAGCCAGAGACAGCATTTTGCCCAAGAAGTGAAATAAGGCAAGGATAATGTAGATTAAAAATGCCTGAAATGAAAGGACCTTGCACTATTTAGGAACAAACATATCAAAACTTAGAGCAATATCCTTGGAATTTAGAAGTAAAATACAAGCCCAAGAATGCTTAACACATTGATTTGACTTGAAAGGTGAAAATTTTTCTGATTGAAAGTTCTGGGAACCAGGGGGAAATAATTATAATAAAGTAAAAATAAAAACCAACAACTATAAACCAGAGACTTCTGCAGGGGGCGGGGTGGAAGGATCAAAACGGGTGGGAAAAGCACAAGGGATTATACGGTGAAGGCAGTGGGGTGAATTGATGGTGGGAATTCTACCAGGACTACAACTGAGATGAAAAAGCATACATTGTACACAAATGAAGAATGATGTTAAAAAATATATAAAATACTGTTTTGTTTTTAAAGATTTATTTATTTGTGCATACAGAACTGGGGTGCAGGCCAGAGGCTCAGGGGTGGCGAGAGGCTTCACCAGAGACA